CGGAGATGATAGAGAAGGTTCATGGCGCGGAGCTGCCAGGCGCATTGGGATACGACTGGCGCGTGAAAACCAAAAAAAAAGCGAAAAGAAAAAAAGAAAAGAAATCACAAATCTGCTTTTCTACACCTTCAAGGCGCCGGTGTGTGGTTATTTAAGGTGTCATTACAGGGGGACAGAGGCAGGGTGTGTGTTGATGTGGACACGAGGTTGTCCACAGGGGGAAAATATAAAAACAAGCTCCAGGCGTGATGTGGAAGAGTCGCAGCCAGAGTCAGAGTCAGAGTGGGTAAATAAACGCCATCTTTCCATCATAACAAGAGCAACAGGGGTTCTTCATTCACACACACAGGGAGAAAGAAAGAGAGAGAGAGAGAGAGAGACATGGGGCTGAAGCCTATGTGAAAAATGAAGGCCAATATCAACCAATATTATTATTATTATTCTTTTATGATCACTATTATTATGTAATCATCATGATCAATCAAAATGTATTGATCTAATGTCAAATGCATCAATATATTTAATATTATGTACATTTATAAATTTTATTTTGTCTCAATGTGGTAAAGAAAACAATCTGACATTGCAATAAATTCTAAATAATGATAATAATAATAATATTGTTTATTGGTTGATGCTTTTCTTTCCGTGCAGACTTCGCTGGGCGCCTGTTTACAGTGTGTTTTTTGCTGTTTATTATCTTATTTCTGTACTTTTCCAAAATGCTGTGAAACGATAAAGACCAAGACTGTCCGGCTGGAACACTCGAAGCAGTTCAGCCCATTTTTGCCTTCCTTTCCTATAAGAAGAAGAAGAAGAAGAAAAAAACACAGAAATATAAAAAAAACAACAAAAAAGAAAAAATTTGAAAATAATGAGAATTATAAAAAAAAAAAATCAAAAAACTGAATATATCCTGGTACCAGCTCTGGCCGCAGTGGCTCCACTACTTCTACTGTATGACTCATTCATTCACTGAGAAGACAATTTGTGGGATGTATCTCCATTCGTTTTCGTATGGCTTCGTTTGTTTGTATGTTTGTTTGTTTGTTCTGTTTTCTCTGTCGGTCTGTGCCAAAGCACAAACACAGACACGTGCTCTTGTGCCACTTTAGTCCTGTGATTTATTAACCTGATCTGATGGTGGAGGGTTAAATGGGGAAATCCAGCAGTGAAGTTGGAGATTTTATTCTCTGACTCAAATTCAAAGATAAAATATAGATTTTTTTTTTTAAGAAACAAAAATCCAACTGAAGGGTGCACATGACTGGAGAGGAAATATAATATCTGAATCATATTGTGAATTTTAGAGGAGTTACAGAAGTTTTGTGCATTTCAAAAAACTTTATCAACCCAAGGCCAAGTTAACAATGTCAAAGTGGATCAATAACCAAACGATCAACTCCATTTACATTTTTTTCTCATCACTAATTCATAAAAAAAATCCGCATAGCAAGATTTTTAGACGATTTCTACGCATTTCAAAGGCACATTGCATAATTCTAATGATAATTCACGTTTGGCCTGATATTGTTTTAATCCCTGAAAAAAGACAATAACGTCATTCTGAACTCCTTCAGCTGAATTTGAGTTTCTGAGGTGAAAAGAGGAAAAAAAAAAAAAAATCAACCAAACCAAAACAAAATCGCATTGACCTGAAATCTGTGATCAAACCAAGAAGGAGGTGGAGAAAGAAATCAACGATTGCACAATTTCTATATGCTTTTTTGTCATTAAATCGTAATTGTTTTCTACAACACTTCAGTCTTTGGCACGTTTGTTCAGCTCCAAGAGAAGAAACGAGAAGCAGCTTTTTGTTTTTGTTTCTCTCCCCTCGTGCGCGGCCTCGCATTGTAATGATGGATTTTTATCAATCCGTCTCGGCTGCTTAAAATTGTCCTTCAGCTGTTTTGTGTGCTTGCTGCCGCTGATGTTGTTGCGTGGGGAGATGATGATGATGATGATATAATCCGTGAAGACGCTCACACACACACACACACACACAGTTAGTGTGTGAGGGCCTTAAATTGAAATACATGGCGTTTAATGAGACTAATATTTTTAATCAGGGACAAATATGAGTGCTAATTGACAATTATGACGAAAGATGTCAGGACAATGGATGCAGTTTGTGCACAGGCCTGTGTGTAGACGATGAATCAAGAAGGGGAGATGTCATGTAGGCCCAACTACAATTAAGGTGTATAGGACACAAGGTGGTCCAATACAAATAATATTAATCAGACTTATTTGAGTTTTTGGGAAAAAAATTGGTCTTTGTCTTTATTTTACACCATAAAATAATTGTAAACAAGTCTTATTTATCATTTTGACATATGATGTTTTTAAGAAAATGCAAAATAGAGTGAGTACACAATATAACATTTACAAAAT